TCCAAAAGCACTCACTGCACATAAAAGTAAATTTCCTACACCCCAAGCTTTTAGGTAAAACCTAAGATTGGCTGAAAAACTGGGATTCTGCAGACTTACAAGTGCATGGGATAGGACCTCAGAAAAGTTGAGACTTCAACCTTCTCTCCTTCAATTTTTCAGTAAAATTTGCACTCCAGGATGAGGTGCCATGTTTGGCTTGTGGCCTCAAGCATCTCTTGAGAGATCACTACATACTCCCAAGATAGATGCATGCCAGCTTGAGAAGCAGAACACTGGATGAAATGTCACATCAAACCACAAATTCCTTATACCTGAAATGAATATAACACTGTACGACAACTATACTTCAATAATAAGCTCATAAAAAACCCTACAAGCTCTTTCATATGATGCACTATACACATTTGTGTGCATTTGTGTGCCTACTAAACTTTATCTTTATAAAAAACAAGTCCTGGGGCGCCTGGGTGGCTCAGTCGTTAAGCGTCTGCCTTCGGCTCAAGTCATGATCCCAGGGTCCTGGGATCGAACCCTGCATCGGGCTCCCTGCTCCACAGGAAGCCTGCTTCTCCCTCTCCCACTCCCCCTGCTTGTGTTCCCTCTCTCACTGTGTCTCTCTGTCAAATAAGTAAATAAAATCTTTAAAAATAAATAAATAAAAAATAAATAAATACAAATCGAGTCCAAAACCAATGAGCAACACTAATATGTTACTAAACAACACAGGATATATTTCAGAAAAAGTTCAAAAAAGGTGGGATGACAAAGTACTTCCTAGAGGAGATGTACTCAGTAATAAACAACTAATGACAAAGAGTCTTTTACTTAATCTCCAATGACACGAATGTAAAGCTTTATAAGTTCTCACCACTGGTCATGCAGCTCTGTAGTCATGCAGTCTTACCACTCTTTGACTTAGGTAGGAAAAGATGAGTCTAAATTAGCAAGACTCCTGAATTACACACTTTTGGAAAGAAATAGAACTAATTTTATTTTGCTTTAACTGTATACAGCAACCAGAATTAAGCTATAGTGTGTTAACCCAACAAAACAGCTTGAAAGGGCCTGTGTAGAGTGGCTAGATTTCCACTGGACATGTATTCCTGAAGACTAATCTTCACAGGGAATACCAGGCATTTCTTAAAATCACCAACTATCTGAGGAAAATCTGCACCAGGAAAGCAACAGTAGAGCATAAACATTAAAAAAATAAATAAAAGCATACAGAAAAAAGAAAGCCAATTCAAAAGAAGATAATAATTGTCTTCAGAGTGAAAAGGGAGGACATCACATCAATAAACAAGAAGAGACTTTTTTCCCCATCTCCTAGAAGTGAAAATATAAAACTGCTAAAATTAAAAATTTAAGCAGCAGGTGACAGAGAATGCACACAACTGAAAAGCAAATCACCAATGCTAGAAGACTGAGCTAACAAATTCTTTCAGAACTTAGAACCAAAAGACAAAGAGATGGAAACTAGGAAACGACAGCTATAATATTTGAAGGCGAGAAGTGGTAGTTCTGGAAATGCAAGTTCCAAAAAGAGTAAATAAACAGCTGGAGGGAAGGAAATGATTTTGTTCATTATTAAAGATACTATCAATGGGATGACTTGACCCTTGAGCTTGAATATAAGAGTTTTCAGATTGAAGTGGCTGAATGAGACAAGAATACATGAATACATGAAAAAACAGCCATACCTACACTATCAATAGATTCACTGATATGAAACAAAGAACAAAATCAAAAAATCCTAAAAGCTTCCAGAAAGGAAAAAAAGGCATTTTCTATGAAGAAATAAGATCCAGATTGACACTGACATCTTTTCAGCAACACTGCAAGCGAGGGGGCAATGGGGCAGTATCTTCACAGTTATGAGAGAAAGGAAATGTTTAAGCTGGGATTATCCTATACCCAGTCAAATTCCATTTAATGGTGAAAAGGGATGAAAAGCTTCCAGAAGTTCCCCAGTCTTGAACTCTCTAAAAATTTATTAAAGGATGATGAGCAGCAAAACTCAAAAAGGAATCCAAGAAGTAGACAAGAGTATAAGGAACAGTGATGAGTGAAGTAATAAATATTAACTCAGAGATAAATTTAAATAAATGCTATTAATAAAAATGATTTACAACAATCCAGAATGCAGTTATCAGTTGGTCTCAACACTGGAAATGACAGGGATATGAAAGGTGAAGTAAAAGTGTGCAAGGTGAGAGACAGACAGAGGGAGAAACTTTAGGTAGTGAGAAAAAATACAAATGAGTTTAAATATCTGAACTTAAACTACACGGGGGCTGTTGAAGTACAAGGTACACCTTGAGGGAGAAAATGGAAAGCAGCGGCAGCAACAAGCATAGTCAAACTAACCAACAGCAACAAAGGAAAAAAACAAAGTATGGTGAACGGAAAAAACAAATTGAGAGGAAGAATAGCTGTGAACATCATTATCATAATCATAATAAATATAAACAAGTCAAAGTACCCAATTAAAGATCAGGGACTCTGAATGTGGCTGAAAGGAAAAAGCCAGCTATATTTTATTTGGGCCATGCTTAAAAACAAAATGTCACAGGGCAGTTGAATTAAGAGATGGAGAAAGATAAACCAGATAAAGGCTAACAGAAAAAAAAATAGCAAAAATAGTTTCAGAAAAAAATGGGATATAAGGAAAAAAGTCTTAAAAAGGACAAAGAGGGGCGCCTGGATGGCTCAGTCAGTTAAGCGTCCAACTCTTAATTTCAGGTCAAGTCATGATCTCAGGGCCATGAGATAGAGCCCCAAGTTGGGCTCATGCTGGGCATGGAACCTGCTTAAGGTCATCTCTCTCTACCCTTCTCCCTCCCTCCACTCTCTCTCCCTCTCTTAAAAAAAAAAGAAAAAGGATAAAGAGGAATGTCTCCTACTGACAAAAGATACGATACTAAGAACACTTGAGCAGCCTGGATAAAAATGCCAGTCATTCTTGAAATCCTGTCGTCATCAGGTTGGTTGTCATTGTCAAGTCAGTGAACAAAACAAATCCCAGCCTTTGTGGAGCTTTTGTTCTAGTGGAAGACAGACAAAAACCCTGATAAGCAACCAAACTATACAGTGTACCAGATGGGGATGAGTGCTAAAAAACTAAAATAAAACAGGGAAGGGTAAAAGGAAGTGCAATTTCAAGTGCAGTTAATAAAGGAAGACCTTACTAAAAAGGTAACATATGAGCAAAACCTCAAGGCTGAGGGGGCAACCATGAAGACTTCTGACGGAAGACAATTCCAGGCCGAGGACCTCGCAAGAGCTGGAGGGGGAAGTGGGCTCAAGATGGAAGAGCTCAGTAGCAATGGGAGGAAAAACCGGACATCCAGGAAACAGAAACTAAGGCTCCCTCCCTGAATGATTTTAGGAAGTTTCAAAATAAAACACATGAGGTCAGCTAACGGAAAAATGACATAACCCAAAAGATTACTAAAAGGAAGAGAATTTTAGAGATGTATGACATGCAGTCAAGGAGATCTGAATTTAATCTGAACAGGTTATTGGATTGTGACTATAACTAAAACAGCCGAAGCCTATTTGATTACATTTCACCCACTGTGAAGGAAGACTGTTTTTACAGAGAAATGCTTAGTTGGAGTAGGATTCAGAAAAGAGAGTTTGAGACACAAAATGTGACTATGAGTTTCCAGCAATGTCTGTGGGAGAGGGTATACTGATTAGTGGAATTGAAAAACGGTTTTATTTAACAGATACAGATCTTCCTCCACTTATGACAGGGCTCTGTCCAAGAAACCCACCATGAGTTGAAAATGCATTTAATACACCTAACTTACTGAACATCAGAGCTTAGCCTAGTCCACCTTCAAAGTGCTCTGAACCTCCCAGTAGCCTACAGATGGGTAAAATCATCCACCACAAAGCCTGTTTTATAATAAAGTATTGAATACCTCATGTAATTTATTGAATAGTGTACTGAAGGTTATATGGGTACAGTACAGCTGTAAGTGCATCGGTTGCTGACCCTTGTGATCATGTGGCTGGCTGGAAGCTGTGCTCACTGCCTCCGCCCAGCATCACAAGAGAGTACTCTACTGTAAATCGCGAGCCCAGGAAAAGATCAAAATTCAAAGTTCCAGATAGGATTTCTACCGAATGCCTATCACTTTCACACCATCCTAAAGTCGAAAAATCCTAAGTTGAACCATCCTAAGTTGGGGACTGTCTGAACATTTTTCATTTTAATCATAAAGATAGATGTGTTTGGAGATTATGAGGTCATTAGAATCATCCAACTGATATCAGGATGAGAAAGCAACCTTAAGTAGTGGTAATTTCTCATACAGATTTCCTATAAGAGGAGAGTGTGCTTATCAAAAGGGCTTGAGTGTCTAGTCCCAAGGACACTTTTGCCAACATATACTAATAAAATGGCATTCTGATTGATTTGGTATTCTCATGTGAGTTTGGTTCCAATAGTCAGTAGCCTGGAACTATATGAATACGTAGAAACACAAGGGACCTAGAAGTTAAGGGCCAAGCTTTGAAAAGTAGTTATTACAAGGCAGTAAAGCTGGGTCAACCATTAGTAGCCCTCCCAGGTGTCACCTGTACCTCAGCCTTCATCCCTCTAACCAGATGTTGGAAATGCTATATTGAAGAGTGAGCCCTGGACTTAACGGTACGGTGATGTACCCCACCCAGGGCTCCATTACCACTAGTCATGCAATCCTGAGTGGCGTCACTTAATCTCTCAGATCCTCAGAGAGTTATACAGCCTTTAAAATGGGAGTAATAATGGCTCTTTTACCTCACTGGTTTGTTTTAAGGCTCAGAATCTAAATCTAAATCTAAAACAAACAGCTATGTGAATAGAAGATATTAATACTAGCATCATTGCATGCCCTGCAGCAATGAGTATATAATTGATATGCCGAAGCACATTACCACAATTATCTGAAAATTGAAGACAAGATGAAAAACCACCAACCCACCGAACAAAATATAGGAAATCCTACCTCTCAGCAACTGGTTTGGCAATGTTTTCAAAAATGGTCTCTTGGTTTGCACCCTGATCAAAAATCTTTTGAAATCTGCAAATATGAAAGTAGTAGTTATTTAAAGGCTGAGCTTCAAACACAATTGGATTAATATTTTTTTTCCTAAAAGCTTTGTAAATTACCCCAAATTTACATACTGGGCTTACCTAACCTGACACAATATCTGCCCTGTAGTCCTGACCACACTGCCCTGTTGTACCCCTGTATACAAATGGTGGGTAAACAGTATTGCTTTGACAAGATCTGCACAATAAATCCCTCTGAAAAACTGCAGCAGCTTTGAACCAAATAATAAACTGTGTGTTCTTTAGCCCTCAAGAGGGACAGTGTCTGCAACTGGCATCAAATTCGAATCCAGATAAGTACGTGAAATGGAAACCCAAGAACAGGATGTAAACAAGCCATTGAATTTCTGATGTCTGACCTGTAAGGACAGAATGCAGCTGTGAAATATATGATTATCAAACTTGGTTTTAAAATTGTGAATTGAAGTTGATTTTCCATCAATAGGTGCTGTATCTTGGTATCGGCCACTTAAACTCTCAGGGCAGTTTTGCCCCATTGGGTTGATCATGAATCAAAAGTCAAAAAGTAAATCCAGATGGGCCTGCAAAGAGACATCTTTATCAGATTGGCAAGGCCAGGGCCGTGGGGCAGAGGAACGGTGTCGACACTGCTTGTCTCACAATGGCGCTGTGACTGAGCTCAGTACGGGATCACGGGCACAGTGGGAAACCCAAGGTAACTTTTATAGTGAGGTAAGTCGCTTATCGGCAGGAATGGCCCTCATTAAAACATCATGAAGGAAGTAAGAGGAAAACGGAGACACATGGGGAGGGAAAGGAGGAGGGGGGCGAAGGGGGAGAAAAAGAAAGAGAGAAGCATAAGCATATAGGGCAAAATGTTAACAATTGGTGAATCTCCCACCAAGGGTCTAGGAGAGGCTACTGCATTATTCTTCCACCTCTTCTGTGTATTTAAAATTTTTCAAAATAAAAAATAGGGGTGGTGTGGCTTTAAAGCAAAACCTTTAAAACAAACATGTTGAGGGCATCCTAAGCAGCTTTCGGAGTGGCTTAGGAACTTCTGGTCCATGTGTCTCACTTGTGATTCACAAGTGAGTTGGACGCATGTTCTATTAAAGTAAGTAGAAACTACATGGGGATGCCTGGGTGGCTCAGTCGGTTAAGCGTGTGCCTTCAGCTCAGGTCATGATCCCAGGGTCCTGAGATCGAGCCCCACATCGCACTCCCTGCTCTGTGGGGAGCCTGCTTCTCCCTCTCCCTCTGCCTGCCACTCCCCCGCTTGTGCTCTCTCTCTGACAAATACATAAATAAATAAATTCTAAAAAAAAAAAAAAAAGTAGAGACTACATGAAATGTGGGACTATTTTCATGACCAAGGAGTTCAGAAGGATGTCTGGAGCTGGGTAGGAAATACAAAATAGAATGAAATTCATGGTCTTTAATCAACATTAACTTCAAAAGATCCTTAGAGCTTATCAACTTTCCTTTTGAAGAAGCAAATAATGAAACTATACAAAAAGAGAGATTGTCAGACACTCTGGTGACCAGGTCATTTAGCAGGCAAGATTATATCTTAGCAGTATTTACCAGTTTGCCCAGAATACTCCTTAAAACCCTGCAGGTGCATCACAGCTTCAGATATGAATGCTGACATAACACAGGGGACGTGGCCGCTCAAGCGGTCTTGAGAGTACTACCTACTGTGATGTCTGAGCACAGACTCAGCGGCGCTTTTGAGGATGATGGTGATAAGGCTGATTTGCTTCTTTGACCAGGCTGGCGATGACGGAGTGAATCCATCAGCCATTCCCAATTCCACCTCCCTAAGTGATAGGAATTACATCGACCACCATGTAAACCCAAGAGACAGCAGGTGTTTCAGTAAATCATACAATGGTACTTAAAGACCAAATATCATCATCCCAAAATATTTTATTTTATGTAATGTAGTTACATAGTAATTTGAAAAGTCATTAATGATCAGCTAGCTTCCAAAAACCATGGAGGAACAAAACAGAATCAGAGAGTTTAAAGAGTTCAGTCGAATCTTTTCCAGAGAAGGAAGTTGAGGCCCAGGGAGATAAAGCAATTTACTCGCAGCCCTGGAGCTAATCAATAACGCTCCCTGAGACATAACTTTGGTGTCCTGATTCTGAGGAGGTCCCTTCATTTATTAGGAAGTTGTGTAGGCTTTTTCTAAAGTCCACTTAGAACTTGGCATATGCTGACCTCCTCCCACCCCAAACCTGTTCTTCCTGGTCCTCCACCTCCTAGTACAGGACAACTCCATCCTTCTAAACGTGCAGCCCAAAGCCCTTAGGGCATCCTGACTCCTCTCTCTCTCTCTCTCTCTCTCTCTCCCCCCGCTACACTCTGTATCCCACCCATCCACTAACTCTGTCAGCTCTGACCTTCAAAATGCATCTAGAATCCAACTATTTCTCAACATTTCCACTTGCTACTACCCCGGCCCAAGCTACCATAATTTCTTGCCTGGTCTCCCTTGAAACAGACTGCTCTTACAGTCTATTTTTCCACGTCCCAGGACAAATGATCCTGCTAAAACATAGTGAAATTATTTCATTCTTCTGCTCAAAACCCTCCCTTGCCTTCCCTTAACACACTGGGAGGAGAAAGCTTACAATGACTTTTTCCCCAAAACAATCCTTACGATGACTTCTAAGCCTCCCTATGATCTGGCCACTCTGCTGCTCCTTTAACCTTCTTCTTCTCCAGCCACACAGACCCCTTTACTCTTCCTCAGACAGGCCAGCACTCTCCCATCTCCGGGACTTGCTCTTGGTTTTTCCTTGGCCTGGAATCCCCAATCCCTCAGACATCTGAATGTCTGACTTCCTCACCTCCTTTAAGCCTTAGCTCAAATATCACCCTCCTGGGACGCCTTCCCTGACTTCCCACTCCATCCCTCCCCTTTGTGGCCCCTCCTCCTGGCACTCCTTATTCTCCTTGCCTGTATTAGTTTTCTCCGTGGCACTTAACACTTTCTAATATACGCTGTACTTAAGGATCTGCCTATCTACCCCCTCCCACTAAAATGTAAGCACCATAAGTGCCGGACCTTTGTTGCATCCCCTGCTGTGTTCCTAGCCCTTAAAACAGCACACAGCGGATGGTCAATAAATATGTATCGATTGAATGAATGAATTTTGGCAGGAAACACTCTTAAGATGCTGAAACATTTATCTCTGAATATAGGTATAAGTTAAATACTTTATTAATTTCTTAATTTAAAATGCTAAAGCCAATATTTTTAATCCAGAGATTTAGAAGGAATGAGTAAGAGATTTAAAAATAAGCAAATAACACATTTTCAATGAACATGTTTCAATGCACTGTTTCTATCTACATAATATAAAGAATACTTTCGAAAAGGCCAATAGATGGAGACGTGGCCAATTGTTCCTAACAATCACATAGAATCACGCAGAATCAAATGTTTCAGCAAATTGTGGCTTTATAGAGACTGGCCTCACCCAGCTGTCATGAAGTCATAGCTATTGAAGTATGTAGCATGCTTACATCAGTGGGAGAATGGCTGCTTCAGAAAAAGTAAGTCGTGTATTATAAAGCACTCCTTAAAGAACAAAATGAAAAGCAATAGGGAGCCAAAAAGACAGGGTAAGGACCACCTCACTATGCAGCCATGTGTTAGCAATCCCACATGCGTACAGTAGAAGACACAAGGAGAGGGGTAGAGGTGGGAGAAGGTAGATAAATGAGACACAGAGGACAAACCGTCAAGACCAAAGAGACTTATTATGAGACATAAATAAATAAATAAATTAATTAATTAATTAATTTGAGAGAGAACCATAAAAAATATCTGGGCTGGTTTTATGCAAAGGGTGAGGGTAGAAACAGTATGAAAACAGGGCCCAAGCAAAACAGCCTAGAAAGAAATGCAAGACAACAATTAGGATTCCTTCCATGGGACCTAGAAACCCACTATCTAAATTTAGGCAGAGATCAAATATGGCTTTGACTTGGGCTCAAACTTCTTCAAAAGTCAAAAGTGTAGATGAAAGAAAACAGCACAGACTGAAACTAGAGAATAAAGGCAGCATCAAGAAGCCCAAATCCCCATTTCAAGGCCTGGTTACTAAAAGAGAATTTGGACCAAAGGCACTGATGACAGTCCAGGGGTGGCTGTTGGGTATGTTTCACCTGATCCCTACAGTTCAGCACTGTAGGGATGAGAAATAAAATGCAATCCATACATGTGAGTATATATGTAATTTAACATTTTCCAGTAGCCACTTTTTTAAACAAAGAAACAGGTGAAACTGATTTTAAGAATCTATTAATAATCCAATATAACCTCAAACTTTATCATTTTAAATGTAATCAGTATGAAAAAATTCTTGAGATGTTTTACATTCTTTTTTTTTTTCTTTTCCACACCAAGCCTTCAAAAATCCTCGATATATTTTACACTTAGAACACATCCCAGTTCAGGCTGGCTACATTTAAGTGCTTAAGAGCCACCTGTGGCTAAGGGCCGCTACATTAGACAGTAGAGATATGGAGTGTGCATATGAGCATATGAGATCCAGATATCATTTATGTTATAAAGAAGGCTCATCTATACAGCACACAGATTATACCTTAAGTTATTAACTTGAATAAAGTTTAGTCATATACTGAGCTTCCTCTAAGTGCTAAATCATAGTGGGCCAAGTAGGAAAAGGACAACACCAGATAAAAAGATGTAACAAAGAAAGGCTGGGATCTTGGGACAGCATCTTGGACAGAGAAAACACACCCTCGGGGTGACAAGGTGGCTCAGTTGGTTGAGCTTCTGCCTTCAGCTCAGGTCATGATCCTACTTCCTGCAGACTCTCTGCTCAGCAGGGATCCTACTTCTCTCCCTCTGCCTGCCACTCCCCCTGCTTGCGTGCCCTTGCTCTCTCTCTCTCTCTGTCAAATAAATAAACAAAATCTTAAAAAAGAAAAGAAAAGAAACACACCCTCTTTTCAACTCTGGGTCCAGAGATGAAAAGACAACTTGAAATCTACCTACTAGATGAGATAGAAAATTGTACTACATTCTCCCCAAGAAATGGCACTAATGATTTCACAGGGGATATTAATGCACTATGAGAAATAGTAAATAGTAATAGTAAAAGTAATAGTAAATAGAAATAGTAATAGTAAAACAGAGACAAAGGCGAAAGATAAACTTACTTAAATTTGTAGCTTTCTCGCTTATTATTCACAAATCCATCTGCCAAATCACGTGGTAAGATAATTTCCAGGCTAGGGGTTAATTTTTCATCTTCATCTATGGAATAAATCTGCAAATACGAAGACAACAAATGAATATAGCATGGTAAAATTATGGCTTGAATTATGACCATGTTATTATGATAGGCATTGTAACTGTATAAAAAATTGTACTCTCAAGATAAGTCATAACATAGTATAATTTGGATAATTTTCCTCTTTGAACTGTGCACAGACTCTAACAAATATATGGAACAGAAAAAGAGGTAAAATCTAAATCAATGCTCTACCAAAGCTCAGATCCTCTCTGAATGATCTAGTATTCAAATTTGAGCATTTGAGTGTCTCTGTTGTTGAGAAACTAATAGTTCTGAAAGCAGGACATTAATCTAAGTACTGCTTTGGAATTATGTACCAGAAATTAACATCTTTCTACGACCAGTAAGCATTTCTGAGCATTTACAAAGTGGCCGAAGCAGATCAAAGGACTAGGTCTGAGACTTCTCAGAGAGCTCACAAGAATGCTCTAATTCAAGTTATATTCAAAGCAGCCCAAATTTCCATAAGACATATTCAGGCATTTGATAAAAGACATGTGGTTTCAAAAGACATATGTAATTCATGTCTTTGATGTCATCTTCAAGGTTCCCTCCCAGCTCAGCCACTAATTAGCAAGGGACCTGGGAGAAATCACTTAACCTCTCTAAACTGATATGGAAATGAAGGGTCTTAACCAACCCCCCTTCCAACTGCAAATTCTCTGATTCTCTTCTTGGTTACCTACTCCTTTATTTACTGGCCAGGAAAATCAAGGATCAAGCCTATAAAGAGGTCACGTTGAATAAAGAATAGCGTAAGACCTGGTACCCAAAGACTTGTGTCCAACACTGAGCTCAATTTACCAGCTGTGTGACCAGCTACCACGTTAAGAATCTCAGTTCCTTTATACATAAAATTAGGAAAAGAGAATTGCCTCCCTTACAAGATTGCTGTGGGGATAAATGATGTCATGGAAATGGAAGCATTTTGTAATGCACCATAAAAAATGTTAGTCATTAGATTTAGAGGTTTTTTTAAAAAGACTTCTTGTCTTTCAACAGGAAATAGAAGTCTTTCTAATAGGCAATACTTCCTGTTTAAAACTCATTTAGATGCTTGATTACGAGGCGGGGGAGTCATATTCTTAAACAAGTAAAAGCTCACCTAAATCTCCCAAAAGTAAGTAATTTTCCTAAGCAGATTTTTATTGAACCCTCTCACTTCAAATGTGAAGAATTCATGCAGAAAAGTCATTCTGTAAAATAAAATTATTTGTAGAAAGTAATGGCATCAGGTCTGAGACTTTCCGTGGCTAGGTTTTCTCAAGAGACATTTAAAAATTATATCCTGTATGGCACTACACTAAAAAAAAAAAAAGTTAATGGCTAGACAGGTGAGTGAAAGGGGTGTGTAAGACATGAAACATACAAGAGTGAGGTACTCCTTTTAATGCGAATCACATGTTTTCAAAAATTCTGTAACACTCAGTGCTCAGAAGACAGAAAGGACCATCGACTACAGTAAGAACACTGACCCTTTACCTTGCTGATTAAGCCATTCTTAGAGGCATTAAGAAAAGTCCCTCTCAACCAGAAACTTATTTAGTCTAATAGACTGACTCTTTACCTTTAGTCATAACAATACTTATTTGAGACACAGTGGGGGGTTTTTAGACCCAGAAGACAATTATAAGAAATGCAAGGACGAATGTGAACATGTTTTGAAATGTACTGAACACTATACAAATGAAAAGTATGGCCGTTGCTAAAATTATAAGAGATTTGTCTTACGCATCTTCTAAGTTACCATTCTATAGATTATTATAACTTACTTTATAGTGCCTTAAGGAATAAGACTAACGAAGTAATAGAACCACAAAATGAAGAGGGAATAAAAAAATACAGGGGCACCTGGGTGGCTCAGTCAGTTAAGTGTCTGCCTTTGGCTCGGGTCATGATCTCAGGTCCTGGGATCAAGCCCCACATCGGGCTCCCTGCTCAGTGGGAGCCTGCTTCTCCCTCTCCCTCTGCGGCTCTCTCTTGCTCTCAAATAAATAAAATCTTAAAAAAAGAAAAATACCTTTGAATCACTCCTGGTTGAATGTTACAGGCAAAGAAACAACCATACATCTCAGGAGCAAAAAGATAGGGTGCTAAAAGTGGGATTTCTAAGGGAGAGCAGGGATACACTAACTCAAAATGTGTTCAACTGTGTACTCTTATTTATGTGTATGTGTAATAATGTTGCATCTTGGTAAGAATCTGCCATTATAAAAATACAGTAGGATCTAAAAATACTCCCTGGAGTATCAAACAATCCACCCTACAGAATCTCACCAAAGAAATGCAAAAGAAGGCACAGTGAAATATCTAAACACTGCAATTTAAGAAAAGAGAAAGTTCAAATTACACCCAAGATTCTCCATCAACACCCCCATCCTTCCCCCACCTGCTCACCTAACCAATCCTCTAACATTACCAAATCCAAGCACCTGCTTCCCACTGCTGAGTCTATGTAGACAAACTCAATACTTTTAGCTAAAAATCTGAAGAGGTACAGAGGGACTTTACATATAAAACACTTGGTATATATGAAGCACTTTAAAAAACCTTCTCATAAGTGAATATAAGAGGAGAGAAAATGGAAGGATATCCATGGTTCCTTTCTACACTATTTTATTCCTTAAAAAAAAAAAAAAGTATTTTCTTTGGAGTCTTCTCAGGCATCTTATCCTCAAGTAGTCCATGAGTAAAAAATCTTTTGATGATGATGATGACAAAGATGCTGTATTCGTTTCAAATACATAAATAACATGAGGCAAATGCTACATTATGATATACTATGATGTTACATATATACACATTGTAGATATGGAATAGATATAAAATATTATTAATAATATACCCATTCCAGACTGCCCTTACCTAAGTCCTCACTTTGGGAGGCAAAAAAGTTTGGTCTGAAGAGCCAAGAACTTTGGAATAAAAAGTCCTTCATTAAAATCAGGGTTCTGCCACTCACTGGGTGGATGACTTGGCCACATTATTTAACCTATCTGAGACTCAGTTTCCTCATCTACAAAATGAGGAAAATGACATCAACCTTGCAGAGTTCTCCTGAGAATCAGAGATAATGTAGACAAAATGCCTAAGTGGTAAGAATGACTATGGTCTTTCTAGGGAGAAAAAAACATGTTTTGAAACATTTAAGAAGCACACCATGTATCTCTACTCACGGCAAGAGCAAGGTGTTAACCTTCTTGTACCTCTGAGTTTAGCACACTAGAGGAAGTACCTAGTAAATGCTCAATGTTTTCTGAATGAAAAGTATATGTGTATTCTTTGCTTTGGGATGCATAAATATGTCTATCTGCAAAAAGTACTATGTCAAAGGTTCATGTTTGTGTTGCACAAGCACGATGTAGTTAGGCAACAAATTCCTCAGGGCCCATTGTGCACAGAGCCACAGTGGTATGTTTTTAGTCTGTGTATCTACCTACATTATCTATATCATCTCAGACGTGTATGGACACCCATCTCTTGCTGGCCCGTTCTGCCCGAATGAGAAACACACTTGGGCTTATCTGTGTGCAGAGTGTGCAGAGCTGCATGACCGCTTCCCAGAAAGGTGAGAGAAGGGTGCAAGTTGAGGCGTGGCCCCTGTGAGCGCGCACAGAGGCACACACGCACACGTCGGCCCCTGCGTGAACACGTGTGCCCGGGCGCCTGTGCGTGGTTCTGTGCACAGGGTTCGTGCCCACAGGGCGCTGCGGGGCGGGAGTGGCCCGGGTGTCTGCCCGCGTCCCTGACAGCGGGAAGCTGGTATCTGCGTGGCCACCGGGGCGCCTCAGCAGAGTGTGCGAGACTCGGGGAGACATCCGGCGCCCTGCGCCAAACCCCCTCCCTAGCCTAGGGCCCCGCGTGCCGTCCCTCCCCTGCCTGGGAGGCCCCGCCGCGCCGGCGCCCTCGCTGCCCGTACCCCTTGTTGCTGCTTCCGGACAGTGGGCTTCACCCTCGCGAAAATCTGTATGGTCTGCTTCACCATCTCCTCCCGGCTCTGCACTGACCCTTGACCTCTCTCAGGATCTGGCTCCCAAAACTGACTCCCACCACTTCCGGCCAGCCGCAGCCTTAGCAACAGTAACTAGGGACACTACCCAAGGAGCACTGCGCCAGCCAGGCCCGCCTCCTCTCCCTAATTGGTTACTGACTGTAGAGGGGGCTGAAGGGAAGTACTGAGGGGCGGGGTTGGGGCGGGGCCGAACGGAGAGCGCTGCGCACGCGCCGGGTCTAGATCTGGGCGCCAGGTTTAGCTCCACAGCTGGCTTACTTAGTGGTTTAATGGGGTGACAACCACCATGCCTTGACCGGTTCCTTAATCCATTCTTTCTCTGTGCCAACACCTCTTTTTAGCAATGAAGTCATTCTGTTTTTTATTATTCATTCATTGAAGAAATGTCACTTAATCTGTGACAAGCAATATGCTGGCTGGGGATGATCCTGAGCTGAGCACCACTGCCTCTACCCACTTAGAGATGAGGGTCTGATGAAGGAGGCAACTTTTCCACAGGAAGTTACAAGTTACATCGGGATTGGGCATGGGATTCTGTGGAAGGCGCCTCTTCTATCTCTGTTTTGGAAGAGGTCAAGACTGGAAGAGAGAGGGACCGTTTGCCATGCAATGGCCCTGTCAGGAATGGGTGGGTTCCCTTGTGCACGGTTAGTAGGAAGGTAAATTTGTGCAGTCACTATGGAAAACGGGATGGAGGTTCCTTAAAAAATGAAAAATAGAAGTGCCTTTCTATTAGAAGTGCAATTCCACCTCTGGAAATATATCCAAAAGAATTGAAATCTGGATGCCAAAGAGATCATTGCACCCCCATAGTCATCACAGTGTTAACCAAGACATGGAAAACACTTAAGTGTTCATCAGTGGATAAATGGATAAATAAAATGTGATATGAGTGTATATGAAGATTATTTGATATATTATTTATCATCTATAAGTAACGGAATATTTTTCTGCCTCAAAAAAAAAAAGGAAATCCTGCCATTTGCAGCTACACAGATGAAACTGGAGGGCATTATGCTAAGTGAAATAACTTAGATGGAGAAAGGCAAATAGTGTATGATCTCACTTATCTGTAGAATCTAAAAGAGCTGAACTCATAGAAACAGAGTAGAATGGGTGGCCAGGGGCTGGGGGCAGGGTGCAGCAAATGGACAGATACTGGTCAAAGGTACAAATTTCCAGTCATAAGACAAATAAGTTCTGAGAATCTAATGTATAGCATGGTGACTCTAGTTAACAATATTGTGTTATATACTTGGAAGTTGCTAAGACAGTAAATCTTAAATATTCTCACCAGAAAAATAGATGGTAATTATGTGAAGTGATGGAGGTGTTAACTTTATTGTGATAACAATTTTGCAGTACAGATGATCCCTGACTTATGATGGTTTGACCAGTGATTTTTCAACTTTATGGTGGTATGCATAGTGATATGCATTCAGTAAAAACTACTTAGAATTTTGAATTTTGATCTTTTCCTAGGCTGACGATATGTAGTATCATGCTGTCTCATGATGCTGGGCAGCAACAGGGAGCCACGGTCCCCAGTCAGCCACATGATTACAAGGTTAAACAACCTACATTTCCAACCATTCTGTACCCATACAACCATTCAATGCATGGTTCAATACATTACATGAGATGTTCAATACTTTATTATAAAATAGGTTTTGTGTTAGGCGATTTTTCTCAACTGTAGGCTAATGTAGGTGTTCTGAGCACATTTAAGGTAGGCTAGGCTAAGCTACGGATGATTAGGTGTATTACATGCATTTTCAATTTGTGATATTTTCAACTTAAGATAGGTTTATTGGGACATAACCCCATCACAAGTTGAGGAAGATCTATATATACATGGATCAAATTATCAAATTATACACCTTAAACTTATATGTCAATTAAATCTCAATAAAGCTGGAAAATACATACATACACACATACATACATATCTACATATATAAGGAAGGATGAGTACCTCGAAAGACAGTGTTAGCGCATGAAAAGATGTTCAACATCATTATCCACCAGGAAAATACACATTAAAACCACACATGAGATGTCACTACACATCTCTCAGAATGGCTAAAATAAAAAATAGCAACAAAACCAGGTCCTGACTGGGATACAGAGAAACTGAATCACACATACGTTACTGGTGGTGTTATAAAATGTAAAATGTATCATGGATAATGGTACAGCCATTCTAGAAAACAGTTTGGCAGTTTGTTACAAAACTAACAATGCAACTACTGTAAAGCAGTTATGCTCATGAGTGTTTACCCCAGAGAAATGAAAAGTTGTGCTCACACAAAAAAACTGTACTTAAATGCTCATAGCAGCTTTATTTGTAATAGCTCCAAAATGGAAATGACCAAGATGTCCTTCAACCAGTGAATGGATTAAAAAGCTGTGGAATACTATTCAGCAATAAAAATGAAGGGACTACTAGTACATATAACAACTTGGATGAATTTTCAGGGAATTATGCTGAGTGAAAGAAGCCAGACTTGACTCAAAGTCAAATACTGTATGATTCCACTTCTATAACATGCTTAAAATGGCAAAATTATAGAGATGAAGAGGAGATTAGTGGTTGCCAGGGGTTAGGAAAGAAGGGAGGGCGTAAGGTGGCTATGGCTATAAAAGGATCCTGGTGATGGAGTGTTAGTATCTTGACTGTGGTGATGGTCACAGAAATCTACATGTATGATAGAATTGCATAGAATGAAACACACTAGCATACACACACACACACACACAAGTGCATATAAAGCTGGTGAAAGTTGAATAAGATGGATTGATTGTATCAATGTCCATTCCTTGGTTGTGATGCATTATAGTTATGCAAGATGTTACCATTGGGGGAACTGGGGGAAGGGGGGAGCAAAAATCTCTCTGTATTATATCTTACAACTGCATGTGAATCTACAATTATCTCAAAATACAAAGTTTTTAAAAAGAAACTCTTAGAGAGTAAAAAGACAAGCCACAAACTAGGAGAACATTTTTGCAAAACACATATCTGATAAAGAACTTGCATCTGGAATACCTAAAAACTCTCAAAACCCAATAAAAAAATAGGAAAACAACCCAATTTTTTTTGAAGGGGATCAAAGATTTCAACAGACACTTCCCACTATACAGATGGCAAATAAGCCATCTTATGTTTAACATAAGATGTTAACATAATTAATCATTAACAAAATGCAAATTAAAACCACAATGAGGGACGCCTGGGTGGAGCAGATGGTTGAGCGTCCAACTCTTGGTTTTGGTTCAGGTCTTTATCTCAGGGTTGTGAGTTCTAACCTGGCCTCAGTCTCCGAGTTCAGCACAGAGTCTACTTAACACTCTCTCTCCTCTGCCCCCCACCCTGTGCTCTCTCTCTCTCACTCTCTCTCTCTCTAAAATAAATAAATCTTTAGACACACACACACACACACACACACGAGATACTACTACAAACCTCTTAGAATGGCTAAAAATAAGAAAATAAAACTAGGAATACCAAAAGCTGACACAGGTAGAGAACATCTGGAACTCTCAAACATGGCTGGAGAGAATGCAAGATGGACCACTTTGAAAAACAGCTTCAGTGTTGCTTATTATATAAAGTTATATACACACTTGCCATATCACCCAGCAATCCCACTCCTAAGTGTTTACTCAGTGCAAGGAAAACTGACATTCCCACAGAAAGGTAAATGTGAATGATTATTATCGTTTTATTCACAATTGCCCTGAACTAGAAACGAAGTAAATGTTCTTCAACTGATGACCTGGATAAACAAACTAATACATATACACAATAAAAAGGAATAGACTGCTGATATCTGCAACAATATAGTTGAATATTAAATTTATTATGCTAAGTAAAAGATGCTAGACTCAAAGTTACACACAGTATAATTCCATTTATATGACATTCTAGAAAAGGCAGAACTATAGGGATAGAAAACAGATCAGTGTTTGCCAGGGCTAAGGACAGGGAAGGAACTGACTGCAAATGGGCATGGGAGAGTTTGGGGGGTGGGGAGTGGTGGGACTTTCATATCTTGATTGCAGTTGCAGTTACATGACTATATACATTTGTCAAAACTCATAGAACTTAAAAGTGTGAATTACATGGTATGCACATTATACTAGTATAAGAAAAAACAACAACAAAAAAAAGAGAATGGGGTATGAACAGGTGTGGCAGTAGCAGGGATGGAGAAGAGGAGAGAATCACGAGAGAACCAGGTATTTATGAAGTAGACTTTAAGGTCTTTTTCACCTGGTGCTGGGTGGTAAGGAAGAAATGATTTAAGATCGGGCAACACCTCCATCTTAGCTGTTGTGAGTAATGCTGCAGAGAACGTGGGAGTGCAGATATCCCTTCTAGATACTGATCTTGTTTCCTTCAGGAGTGGGACAGCCTAAGTGTCTGTCTATGGAAAAATGGATAAAGAAAATGTGGGAAATATATATTTATATCTATCTATACACAAAACAGAATAGTACTCAGCCATAAAAAGAAGAAAATCTTGCCATTTGTGACAACACAGGTGTACCTTGAGGATATTATGCAAAGTGAAATAAGTGAAAAGAAAAATACTGTGGGATTTCACTTATATGTAGAATCAAAAAAAAAAAAAGTCAAACTTACAGAAACAGAGTGGAATGGTGGTTGCCAGGGACTGGGGAGCTGGGGTGGAGGCGGTGATGGGAAAACATTGGTGGAAAGGTCTAAACTTTCAGTTATAAGATAAATACATTCTGAGGACCTAATGTACAGCATGCTGACTATAGTTAATAATACTGTGTTGTATCCTTGACAGCTGCTAAGAGTCAATCTTAAGTGTTCTCACCACAGAAAAATTTACAAGGTAACTACGTGAGGTAATGCCTGTGTTAATTAGCCTGACTGCGGTAAATGTTTCACAATGCATATGTATATTAAGTCATCACATTGTACACTTTAAATATATACA